ACGCGTATCTTCAACGCCTAAGAACAAAACATCGTGTGGACAAAGCCGACCCACACGCAAATACATATATGTACATACATATATTTTTAACGAACTATATAACTAATTTTTTTTGTTAACTATAACCATAGCTCAGGTTAAATAACATTAAATGCCATTCTGAACGCAAGTTTCCCAACATTTTAATTTTTTTATTATTATATGTTTATGTTCAATGTTTCACCAAAATTCAAAAAGTCGGCTCACGTACCTTTTTGGGGTGAAGTCATCAACATATCGTCGCTGTCCGATGTCCGACAATTTATCGACGAACTTGCAAAAAAACAAAAGCAAAAACAAAATTTCAAAATTAACTCATTTGCATGTGAGTGTGCGAGCTTGTACGTTCCAGTTGGCGAAAACCAGTTTCAAAAAATGTTTTTGTTTTTTATTTTATTTATTCATACACACACCTACTTACATAGTATAATTTCGTATATTCTTTGATTGCTGATTCACATTCGGAGAGTGAATCTCAGTGCGAAAGCTCATTTCCCTCTCATTTCCCTAACTCGCACACGCAAGAAATTTGGCTAATTTGTAGAATCGACTTCTTCGAAATTGCGTGGCACGCAGTTTTATGACTCTGAGACCCCCGTAAACCTCTCGAACATAACCTGGTTAATAGTTTAGGTTGGCAGTACCCTGCAAATTAAGGTCGCTCGGCATAGTTGCTGTGATTATTATATGTATTTGCGTACATTGGACTGGGCCTGGTGCTGACCCGCTATGGTCAGCCCATTTACCACTTACCACTTGCCCAGTAATAGCATTTCTTTCTTTGTTGATGGTCTCGTATGGTCCGCAAATGTCATGGTGACTGTTTCTTTTTTTTTTATTTTCTTACGGCTCGTACAGCTCGGCGGCCTATGGCAAATTACTTTCCTTGTTGGGCTTTGGTTTTGTTTTTGTGTGTCACAGGGGAAACTTAAGTTTTTAATGCGGATTTTCCGTATTATTTGTGGGGCCCTTTTGCTTTTTAAATCATTCCCTTTGCGCAGCTAATGAGCTTTGTTGCAAAAATATAGCAAAGAAATATTTCGCACATGGATCTGATTGCCGTTTCAAAAACGGTCTCAAGCGGGTTTTGAACTCATCATCGTTGCAAAGAGTACTCTTAAAACGGTTTCGATTTTTATTCAGTTCCTTATTATGTGTTTATGTTACTCTTCACTTCCAGTGTTAAGTAACATTGTTTTTAGCGTTACCAACCAGAGTTCGGTATGTCTTGCTTTGACACAAGCCACCTCGGGTTGTATCGAAATGTTTTCCATATTATTTTTATTAATAGCATAAATTATCATGTAGATATCTATTATATATAAAAGGCATTTAAAAGCAGAGAGTTCTATTAAACTTGTTTCCATTCTTATACATATTGAGTTTCTTATTAGATTTTCATTTTGCTGCGTGCTATTTATTTCCAGTGTTGACAAATCTCTTGCAAATTTGAGTTCGTTATGCCTTGCTTTGGCACAAGACGCCTCGGGTTCGATTACCGCTAAGGGCAAACGCCCAATTGTCGTATTGATATGCTTCTAATTGTATTATATATTTTTTTTAAAGTCATACATTATTATTTATATACCTTCTATACATAAAAAAGGCATATAATTGCAGACAGTTCTGTTAATAGGATTCAGTTTCTTATTAGTTTTTCCTTTTGCTGCCTGCGTTTCATTTCCACTGTTGATTTTATTTTGAGTTGCAAACGAGCTCGAATCCAGCTGGGAGCAGACGCGCACCAAATATTTTTATCGAAAAGTTTTCAGTAATATATGTTTTAATATTAGTTTGTATTATATTTTAATTAGTTAATATTTCTATATATTTATTATACATAAAACAGGCTCATAATTAACATATGCTAATTGCTACATTGCCAAATTGGGATTCAAGGCACGTTTATTTGGCAGCAGTTGCCATGTTTTGTGGCAAAAAAATGTTTAGTTTTATATTTGCAAATTCTCCAACCTTGAAACAAATGCCCAAAAATATCCATCAGCTGCTGGGTAAGATTCGAATAGTCATTTTGCTGCAATTTCTGTCGGTGTTCCATGGTGCTGTTCGTTAAGGCGTCGGATCGCCACAAATTAGAAATCGTGTGTATTATTTGTCATTTACAGGCAGCCCTGGGTTCGTATTATGTCAATTTCTGATGGGGTGGTGGTTAACACAGCTCTACTTAGAGTAAAGAGGGTCTCCCATCAAAGGAGAGAGAGGGGCATATTTGGGGTTGTGTGTGCCCCTGACATCGATCGGAGAGAGAGGCTGACATCGATCGGAGAGAGAGGGCCTTTAATCTTACAACACCCACTCGCTCCCATCCCCCCCCCCCCCCCCCCTCCTTCCCACTCCTGCTCTTCACAACAGTTGTAATTCCACAGCCGAGTAATCGCTGGGTGGTTGGTGGTTAATTGCGTTGGAGTTTTAGTTAGATAGGAGAGGTAAGACGGATCCAAGTTCTGTCGAGCAACCCTCTCTAGGTTGAGTTTTGTTATTTTGACCAACTAATCAACTCTAACCAGTTTTGAAAACATCGAGAAAATTAAAAGAAATTCGTCTTTTAATGTCGAATGAAGCATTACAACTCAGATACCCTGTGTGTTGTATATTGGTATTTGTCGCACGGTCTTTGTGGGCTGATCAAATTACATAGCTGTGGACTTCAGCTCAGCCTTCAGCTTTAATTCATGATCAGCTAACTGTAGCTTCAATTACGGTAAAACAACATTTCCATGTAATTTAATAAACATGGCGTTTTGCAGGAAGCAAAACATTGAACGCTGCTGCATGTCCGCCACAAATTAAATTATAATCATATTTAATATTGATTTAATTTTGAGAGAAAAGAGAGAAAAAATTACATAATACTGTCATGGCCATTAAGAGTACCCTCTGCGAGGAAACGGTAACAAATTGTTGGTCTGCTGCCCGTCTGCCAATCATTCGAGTCTCTGTCAAAGTTTATTGATGTGCAAATTATAAACTGGCTCCATGGCTATAATTATCGTTCATGCCATGTCGGGGTATTTGATAAAGCAGTCTAGCTGCAATTTGTGCCTGACATTGGCTGGCAGCTTGTTGACTCCCAAGAGACTTCGAGCGGGTCGCCCCAGACGAAGATCCAAGACTATCACAACAATGAGACACCTTCTGCCACCTTCTATCCATTGTTGCTACACACCAAACAATATTTGGTTCCCATGTGGCATGTGTGTGCGAGTGTGTGTGTGAGTGTGTGGCTGTACATACTTTTATTTAATTTTGCCCTCTTACTCAAATACTAATTTTGATATCATTTTTTTTTTTTAATTTTTGTAACGAATTGTTGAAGGTGAAAGCATTTTCACTTTCCAAAACAATTTGGTGTCAATGCGAAACTTGGGAACAATAGAAAAAGAGTTTATAATATGATCTAAATAAAAGGCTGTTATATTAACTATGTATATATGTGCATAAATACGTTAAATTTGTGACTTTGAATGGATAAATTGGTATCAGAATTTCAAGCGATTAAATCCCATAACAATATGCAAAAATCTACTTTATGTCTCCATAAAAGAAATGCAATATTAAGTCGATGAACTAGTTCCAAGAACCGAATCCGAGGCGAGGCACTGGTTCGCACCATGAACCATGCCGACATGGTGTCAGTTATTATTGTTATTTTTCAAATAATTAGATAACATTTTATATCTTTTAGTAACTAGGCTTTTATATTGTAAATCGTTTTTGATATTTAATCATATCATATCTCTGTGCACTTATCATGCCAGCCAACCCGCTCACAAACCTTTTTTTTTCGAGCCACTGACTCACTGGTATTTAATAAACAATATCTTTATATACCACTACAAAGACAAACATATATATATATGTATATGTATATTTGTATATTTGTGTAGGGGCCTGCTAATTGGCCAGCTTTCATTGCAATAATAAAAATATTTGAATTGTGACTAAGAGACAACGAGCCCAATTGGCAAATTCAAAGGCCAACACAAATGCAAATAAATATACTCATATATGTGCCTATGTGTGTATGTGTGTATTCACATTATACGTGGTATGCGTGTGTGCGGTTATATGAATGTGTGTATTTGTAATATTCATGTGCGTATATGCCAATCGAACGTTAGCATGATGACAATAATAGACGATTTCACAAAATACGATACCCCAAGCCAAAAGAAACGCACACACACACACACACACACACAAAACAATTAAGTTTGAATGCTCTTGGCTAAGAGATACCCTGTAACCTGTCTGAGCCAGGCCAAGGTGTATAAGTTCTCCTCATCCCTCTGGTTTGCTTTTGTAACCTACACAGAATATTGATATGAGGTTATATTCTATATTCAGAGTACTTCGGGGTTCGGCTTACTGTAGGCAAAATAGTGGAGATAAGCATTCGCAGATACCCTTTTCTTTTATGTTTATCACTCCAGGGTATTAGACAAAGTCAGAGTAGTTAAAATAAACAGAAATTGGCAAAACTTTTGTCTTGCCTCACGCAATATCTGATAGCAAATGTTGAGTGTCAGCCAAAGTGGCCCAAACAATGTGTCAGTGAGGGGGAGGGGAGAGCCGACCCCCCGCTCTTGGGTTAGCATTTGCGTTTGAGCGTGTTTAATTTAATATTGGCTTATTGCCCCTCAACTCCATAGACTGTAATTTATGCAGCCCCTCCAAGCTGAGGAAATGCTCTGCTCTTTAGTTCGAACTAGATTGGTTAGACAATATAAGAAATATAGATATTGGTTAATTAGAAAGCTGTCTGGGTTCTGGTCCTTTATCGCTTTATAGATGAGCATGTTTATGTGAATGCGAACTTGGAGACTGAGCTGGCATTGCGAGGGTTGAAATATGACCCACAAAAAAAAGTGTAGCAAATATTTGTTATAAATTCGACTTGGATAATTTGACAAAAAAAAAACAAAGGTCTTGTAGAAAAGTAGTTTGACATTCGGTTTTATTGCTTGGAAATTTGAAAAAGTTGAGTGTGAAATTTCGAATCGAATTCCCACTTGATTGATTAATTTACACTTCTAGTTAAGCAATTAATTGAAATAATATTCCGTGCCCTTCCTCTTATACTGTACCGTGCTGCGCTGCACTTCCGTGTCCGTATCGAAATTGACAGTCTTCTTCTTCCGCAACCTGGACATTACGCGGAAGTAATTGGCAACAATCGTCGGCACCGCCGGCCGCTTCATTTCGGTGATGAGCTGCCTCTCGCAGCGTATGAAGATGTCGTAGAGAACGCCGCCGGAGCAATAGTATTTGATGATCTTCTCGCGACGTAGCCAGTTGGCTAGCGTTTCTTCGCTGCACGACTCGTAGATACGAAATACCTTGTAGTACTTATCAAAGTGCTTCGACAATTTGCGCACCTGCATCTCGCTGATGTTGGGTATGCGTAGATTTGGCTGGCGTAGAATATAGTAGGGATCATACTGATTGGAGAAGTTGGCATAGCGCACCGATGGCCAGTTCAGCGTGAGTATGGTATCGTATAGGGTTTTTGGATTTCCCAGAATGCCGTGCACCACATCGATCATACGCAATTGGGGCCCCGGCACTATATATTCCAGCTCGAGTTCGGCTATTCGTGAATCGCTGCCACGATATTTGCGCTCGCCTATCCATAGTATGGGCATATCCTCTTCTGCTACACTCTTTAGCTCCTGAATCATCGGCGAGTTCTGGCTGCGATAGTTGAAAATCTTCATATTACGGCCATAGAGCAGAGATCGTTCTACGGCTGTGAATTTTAGATAATCCGGACGGTTCATTAAAAAGTGCTCCGAGCGAAAAAGTCGATTCATTTCCATTTCGATTATGAAATATGCCCGTCTATGCATCGTGATCCACACGATCTGAGTGCAGACCGCCAAAAAGTGTTTGTGAAAGAATCGATCGTTGATCTTGGACGAAATATTGACAATCTCTTTTGTATGGTAAAATTTCTTCAAAACATCATTGCCCATTACGATAGTGCTATAATTTCTAGCGACCAACATGCGATATTGACTCAAGTACGTTGAGAATATTTTCTTCATTTCATTCGTCTGCTCACTTTGGACCTGCGCCAGCTTGCCGGCCAGCTCGTATCAGAATGAACTCCACCATGCGCAGAAAATACTCAAAATAGATAATTAGAGCATGGATAAGTCTATGCACAGCTGGCATGTGCATAAATTCAATAAATTTCGACGACAAAAACTCTTTCGGCATTAGGAACAGCACCAGATCACGGACATCGTTGATGACCACAGTGTCCGCATCATATGTGGTATCGGGACGTACAAATACCTGGCGAAAGATCAGCTCCTCCTCCTGATTGATGGTCCGAAGAAATTTATATCCATTTGTCTCAACATAACGTTCGTTTGTGTGCTCCAAATCGAAATGCGCCTGAAAATGCAATCTCTCGGCCTTCTCATCCCAGGACCATTTGCCACTCTGATACTTTGGGGCGGAGTTGTCTACGTGTATGCGCTGCATCGTGGACAACAGTTATGGACATATAGTGTACAGCTTCTTAGCTAGTCTTTTCCTCTGTTTTGTATGGGTATATGTGGTATATGTTTGTATGGTATATATGTTGTTTGTTTGCAATGTTTGTTGATCGTATTGTGTATATGTAGCTTGTGTATTTGTCACTTGACATTAACTGGAAGTCTACTATTCGAATCGAATCAATAGATCTGTCCTATTCTCTTAAGAAGGACTTTTTTAGCAACTATAAACTTGAGACAAAAAAGTTTCTTCCTATATTCAAAACACCTTCTTCGCGATTTTCATGATTTCCAAATATTTTATTGTTCTTAGTAATTCGTATTTTGATTTTCCGTTATTTCACTGCCTCTCTTCTATGCGATTTTCATGAATTCAATTAAGCCCACAATATTCTGATGATTTATGATGAGTAAGACTTTTGTATGAGTGAGAGATAACGGGAAGAGAGCGGAAGCGATAGTAAGATTTAAATGGAATTGATTTAAAAATATTGCATTAATTTCATCGATTAAGTCAATTATTGGCTACTGCATTCAAAAGCAGCTCATCGAAAGCTAAACAACTGGCAAGCCGCAAGGTCATACAAAATGAACAACAATTAAAATCCAATTTGATGGCCAATCAACGAATTGATAAAGATACATGGGTTTTAAAACTTTAAACAAGAGATACAAATAAAACAAAAACTAACCACGGATGCTGAAACACACACATCCCCGTGGGCAAGTTCAAATTCCAAAGCACATTGCAAAATCCCATCAAATTGGTTTAACTACAAATTTGACCCATTTGCTCGGCTGCGCATGCGCGACTGCGCAAAGAAGTTGGTATAGAAATGGGGCTGCACTCGAAATAGTTTCAAGATTTCGATGTTGCATACTACATATATACATACTATATACACATATAAATATAAACATATATAATGCAGGTTGGTTGGCTTGCGAAATGATGTAACGGCTTTTGGCTAAACGGCATTAGTTTTGCGCATTTGGCAAAGTCTTTTTCTGTACCCTGTTTCCATAGAATGTATAAGGAAGGGTATACTGGCATTTCGTATAAATGTAAAAAACAGGCAGAAGAAGGTAGCTCCGACCTTATGAAGTATACGTATATATATATTCTAGATCAAGACGAGGAGCTAAGAAAATCTTGATGTATATACATATATATATCGTGTACAGATCTTACAGATATCTCAAACCACTTTCATATTGGTAAATGTCGATTTTGAGAGGTAAATGGATATATATATATACATTTTAAGAGCATTTCTCTTCCCAATTCGACCTCACTTTTATAGGAAGAGTCTTGCACTTTCGTAAATAAAATTCGCATTAAGATCGAGGTTGTTTATAAAAAAGGATAATCTATAGATTGGGGCTGAGTTTAGTAAAGCCTAATCGTCTGCATAAGGCACAGTTTAATGCTGCGTATAGGGTATCTCCTAGTCGAGCACTCTCTATTAAAGTATCCACACTAGTTTGATTTTGTTTTTTCCTTCTTTGATTTGGATTTGTTTTTCTTCTGCTTCTCCATTGTTTAAGGCTGCAATGCAACAAAGCTGCCTGCTGCCTGCTGCCCCCTCCCTCCCTCACTCTCGCTCTCTTTCATTCCCTCTCTCTCTCTCTCTCTCTCTCTCTCTCGTTCTCGCTCTGTCTTTGTCTGCATTGCATTTAACTGTCTCCCTTACTCGTGTAATTAGCGCTCTTTTGTTATTGTGTGGGGTTTGCGTAAATGTTTCTGTTTTTCGGATATCTCCTACAAAGCAACTTATGTAGATGCATGTGTAGCTTGTATTTGAGTTGGGTTCCAGTTTTTCAGCATTTTCGTGCTTCAGGAAACCATTTAGCATAGTCTGAGAACTAAGTCGCTTGTCACTTTGTTTTGCGCCTCCTCTGCAATTATTTACAACTGGGTAAAAGGTGTTTTTATTGTTGTTGTTGTTGTTGTTGTTATTGTTGGATAATGTGCGCTTAACTGGCTGAGTTATGGACAGATTGCCACACATCTTTAGGTAACGGGCTGTTGAGCCAGGAGCTGCTATTATTAAAACAGTTTCAAGCCAAGTTAACTGCATATGTTAAACGTTAGCTATAAAGTTAAAGTGCCTGGGAGCTGTTGGTTAACGAAATTATAGGGTGTTTTTTCTTTATAGGAGACATTTGGCCAAGATTAACTATACAGCAATAACACGTCACACAATCAGTATTAAACATTTTTCCCAGAGAAAGAAATGAAGTGTGATTTATATATGTATATGTATATGTATATCTTTCGAATAATCAATATGTCTATTTCAATTGATAATTTTCTTTATTATTGTGTGTTCGTATAACTTTATCCTTTTTTAACCTTATCTAAATACTTGGTTTAGTGGGGTCTGTTAAAACTTCTTTTTTATATGTTCTGATATGCGAAAAATCTTAAGAAAATGAACAAAAATTCCCCTGTGAATCATCCAAAAACCCATTCAAACACACATATATAATTTCGTTAAAATCTTTCCAGCCGACAAATTATATATATGAAGAGGATAGGGCTAATAATTTCTCTAGCAAAACGTTGAATATATTATTTTACAGTCTATAGCCACTTAACTTTAAGAGATCTCATAGTCCGCTTAGCCTTCCTCATAAATAAATCAATAGACAGACACATTTGGCAGTTGTGTTAAATACAGAAGACAGCTCGTCAGACATTTTGCCAAAGTTGATGATAAAAGACAAACTAAAAGCCACAAATTAATCATGAACAAGAGACATAAAACATATTTTTCCCATGCATAAATTTGTGTCTTCACTCGAACAAAGGAACTTGCAGTTTTTAGGCATTATAAGAAATAATCTGGCCGCAGTTTGTCCGATTTACTGTTGAGTTGAGCTCATCCGGCAAAAGGCGTTACAAGGGTACGGCGGGGGGAGCTGAAGCTTGGACTTAGTCACCTCTTGGCCGTGAAATGTCCGCTCTGTTGGCTCGACTTAATGGTCTGTATACGCATGAGTATTTTGCTTTGTTTTTATGTACAATATACTCAAATATTAATGACAGAAGAAAACAACAAAAGCAGCTGCTACCGCAAGGAAGTCTGCTCGCATGCAAAATATTTATAAATATTATTATAAATAACTGCCGACGTATTTAGAGGTGTGAAAGTGAAACTTGTTCGGGGAGTTTTACTAATCACAAATACAGCTAACATTTTCCTCGTTTTCTGGTTGTGTTGTGCGATAATTGAATAAATAGTTTGTTTTTAGCATATTATTTACACACAATTTGGAACTTTCAAAGATCCCAAATTAAAAATTGAAAATTTTATAATTATTCTGAAATTCTCAACGAAACGTTCGAGTCTCTCTGTTTTTTTTTTCTGTGTATATTTTTACTCCGTTTAAGATTTAGGATTGTCGCATTTTCAAAAATAAATCCATCAATTTAATAAGCTGCACAGTTTTCGACTCGCTTTGCATTGTATAATCAATAATTTTGTTTAAACTGCTGCTTTTCTTGCAAAAGTTCATTTACTTTTTTTCTGCTAACTCTTCATAACACAATGATAATTTTATTTCCATCATGTTTGGCAATTTCTTAAGGAGCGCTCCATTAGTGCGGGCCGCTTAATTAAAAAGCTGTTAAAATTAGAGAAGCTGTAGTTGTTATTTTTTTTATTTATTTATTATGTTTTTTGGTGTTTTGAGAAACACAAAAGAATTGCCGCTGAAAAGCCTCCATTCGGAAGCCACAACGCAGACAATTAAAGACAAAACAACATTTTTTCGTTGTTGTTGTGCAATTTTTAATCACTTGTCGAAAACTTGTGAGAATCATGACTGAAAACTGCCCATGCCTAGGCTTAGACGAGCTAGACGGTCTTCATAAGGTAAAAGACCTTGCAAGTACTAATTCTTATGCTTGTTCGTTTTTATTATGAGATAATTCTATATTCTCAGGCTTTTTAATTGGGTTTCTTTATATCATATTGAAAGTTCCCTTGTCGAAAACTTGAATCTTAATGATTCCAAAATTTCTGTATAATTAATTTGCTTTCTTTGAAAAAATTGTATAAGGATAAATCTTATATTTACAATATACTTATACTTAATGCTTTATTCTCAGGCACTTATTGAAGATACACAAATTTTTATCTTATTAATTTCTTTTACATGTATTGAAATTTCAATTATTGAAAACTAAAGTTTTAAGAATTTCAAAATTTTGGTTTAAATATTATTCAACAAGTCTTATGTTTACGATATACTTCTGTTATTCTTTAATTAAGAGTGAATCTATTTTATATTTTTAGTTTATAGTTTTAGTTTTCTTTCTTAAAATTTCATGAGGATAATATTGATCCAGAAATCATACTATACCTGTGATATATTTATGTATAACAAGTAAGAGGTTCTAGTCGGGAGCTCCCGACTAGGGGATACCCTGAACCCTCTTTTTCCAACAGGCGATAGGTATAAAATGATAGATACTTGATATATATATATACTATTCTAGAAGCTACATGTCAAGTTTGGTGACTCTAGCTCATATTATTTACCGAAATTGACAAAAAAACGGAATTTCGATTTTTATCGATAACTTGGAAACGGGGCAAGTTATCGAGTATCGGAAACAAACTCGATCTGCGCGGGGACTAGGAGGACCTACAGCTAAAATTTCAAGTCTCTAGCTCTTATAGGTACTGAGATTCCTGCGTTCATACATACAAACGGACAGACAGACGGACGGACGGACGGACAGACAGACGGACATGGTTAGATCGACTTGGCTATTGATGCTGATCGAGAATATATACACTTTATGGGGTCGGAGATACTTCCTTCTGCCTGTTACATGCATTTGCACAAATATATTATACCCTGTTTACCCATTTTTAATGGGTTCAGGGTATAAACATTGTTATATAGTAAGATACTGCATTTGCTCGGAGCTGTGCAGCTTAGAGTCCTGGGTTCGACCCCGGTCTGCGTTATTTCTTCTTTTTATTTATTTATTTTTTTCATTTATTTTAAAGTTGCTTGGCTATTTAGTTGAATGTACATTTGTTTTTAAACTGACGTAAATCCAAAAGTTTGATTTAATTCAAAACGATTTTCTTGCAATAATGTTATTATTCTGTTTTATTTTTATTTGTTTATATAAAT